CCAGGTTTGTATGCGATGGTGGGAGCAGCTGCTGTTCTTGGAGGTGTTACGAGGATGACGGTCTCCTTGGTCGTCATCATGTTTGAATTGACTGGAGGGGTGAGGTACATTGTGCCTCTCATGGCAGCTGCTATGGCCAGCAAATGGGTAGGCGATGCTCTGGGGAAACAGGGAGTCTATGATGCTCACATAAGCCTCAATGGCTATCCTTTCCTAGACAGCAAAGAGGAGTTCCAGCATACCACACTTGCAGCTGATGTTATGCAACCCAAGTAAGATAGGCTATTTGCCAGATTTTACGATCGTTTCATCTTTTTCACTACGGAAAAGGCTTTTAAGAGTCTTTATCTTCACTGCATTCCTGCTTGATTGATTATTCAATAGGGAAAGAGTAGAGGGGGGGAGGGGGTAATATTGGAGTTGATTAAAAAGTGTTGCGAATCCAGTAGAGTTGAAGACAAAATTCATGTTGATTGAAAGAGGATATGGAGAAAACTTTTCTGTAGCTGATCTAAGGCTCTACAATAAAGACCCTTAATGTTTCCTCAAAATGTTACTCATACTAGTATGACAAAGTGTCAGTTCATCATTTTATTTGCGGAATTTTATGATTATTTCATGGTATTTTACAGCTCATGAAGATAATTAATTGATGAAGATAATTGATTCATGAAATGAATAGACTAAAATATCTCTCTATATTATTAAAATCCAAATCGACTTCTGGTGATGAAAATTTGGTACTCGAAATTAAGACTCCAAAATTAAGAATCACAAGGGTCCAAATAAGGGTCATGAGGATCAGAATAACGGTCATGTGGGTCAGAATAAGGATCACGAATGTTAGAATAAAGGTCATGAGGGTTAGATTAAGCCTCAGAAGGGTCAGGTTAAGGGTCATAATAATGGTCTAAATAAGGGTCACAGGAATCAGATTAAGGGTCCAAATGAGGGTAACAAGGATGACAGATTAAGGGTCCCAATAAGGGTCACAAGGATCAGATTAAAGCTCACAAAGGTCCCAGTAAGGGTCCAAATAAGGATTATGGGGGTCAGTAACTAAGGGTCAGAATAAGGATCATAGAGGTCATATGGCGGTCATATAGGGATCATATGGGGGTTGGCAAGCGGAGCGAACAGAGGGCGTAGCCCCCTAGTCAATTAATATAATTAACATCAATATTTCATGAAATACTTTAGGAAAAGGGATGATTCTTCCAGCTTAATTCATTATTCTGATCATTTAATAATTGGAATTTATGATGAGCTATGGTGACTTGAATGAAATTTGTCATCTTCATTTTTATTTTTCACAGGCGTAACGAGGCTCTCCACGTCCTTACCCAGGACTCAATGACAGTAGAAGATGTAGAGAATCTCCTCAAAGATACCGAGCACAATGGTTTTCCAGTTATTGTCTCAAAAGAATCTCAGTACCTCGTTGGATTTGTACTGAGACGTGATCTGAATCTCGCTATTGCAAATGCTAAACGCATGATTGAGGGCATTACGAGACAATCACTTGTTATATTCACCAGTGGGAATAATTTACAAGTGCATTCTCCGCCTCCATTGAAGCTGAAGAAAATACTCGATATGGCTCCTATTACGATTACTGATCAGACGCCGATGGAAACAGTTGTTGATATGTTTAGGAAATTGGGGCTGAGGCAAACCCTCGTCACTCATAATGGGTAAGGTCATTTATTCATCTATTCACTTCTTTATTTCAATTGAGAAGTTGACAAATTCTGTATAAATTATTCTGCAAAATATCTCTAAAACTAAAGGGTTCGAGTATTCCATAAATTTTCCGTTCATTGTTGAAATGATTGCAAACAAACTTTGATGATTTTTTTTTTTAACATTCTAATTAGGAAATCTTGACAAGATTAATTCGTCAACAAAGCTTTTTTGTAATTAACAAGTTGTGGTACAAAAAGGTCTTCTGATAAATGTATCTCAATCTCTTCCCTTTGGAAGATATTTAATGAATAATCCATGAATTGAATTCAGCCATTTTGTAATTCTATTTCTTTTACTTCACAGTCGACTGTTAGGAGTAATAACAAAGAAAGATGTATTGCGGCATGTAAAGCAACTGGATGACGAGGATCCAAACTCAGTTCTCTTCAACTGAATAATTAACATCACATTATTTCTTCTAGAATCACCTACCCGAAAGTATATCTTCTTCCATTAAAAAATCATCAATTTTTTATATTTATTTCTCTACTTTCCTCGTGAGATTATGCACTCTTCATAGATTCATACAGTTATTATTAAACAGGTATTTTTATCATTCATATGAAAGCAAAAGTGAAAGCATGAAGAAATCGCTCAATTTTGGTGATAGAAACAGTTATTGAAGAAATGAATAATTAGTAATTTTAAATTAATGTTACCAAATCATCACAATCATGCATATTATTTCCATTAAAAGTCATACTTGCCATCACGCTATTCGCAGCCGTTAATTGTCATTAATAAAAGCAAATTATTTCTATTAATTGGAGATGTACATCTTCTTATTATTTATAGCGTAAAAAATCTGAAATTATAGTGAAAGTAATCATTTCAATCGTTAAAAATTATTAGCTCCACTCATTGAAAATTACGAATTAATTACAATTAGGGTTAATTGTAAAATGTTGTAGAAAATGGAATATGAAATTATTGAAATTTCATTCAATTAACGAATATCGATGTTATTGTGATGTCACGATTTCATTGTATTGAAGAAATGTTTTTAATTTGTAAATAAATAAAACATTATGTGCATATAATAATTTTCAAATGATTATTCACTTTCATTTAGGTGGTGAAGTGGTAAACAAGAACAAATCCATCATTTTGCAAGTATCTCTCAACTTTTTCCTCTGAAAACTACTGGTTTCAGAGGAAAAAGTTGAGTTTTATTTTTACGGAAAAAAGATTAGTGTTTTCTTTGGAATCCATTCATTTCAGAGATACTAGTGAGTCGCCTTATCAAGCCAGCGATTTTCTAAATATTGAGAATAGCTTTAAAAATCATCATTGGTGAGCAGTTAATTATTACTTCATCGAACTATGTAAGAAGGCCAGAAAAATGGGCGCTTCCAAACACTGTTGGACTCGCTTATCTTCTATAGTTCCCCAGATATTTAAATTAGAAATTCTTCAATGATAATGGGGCAGAATGAAGTGTTCGGTATCAAAAATTTCTCTGAAAATTTCCATCATTTTTGAATAACTAACACAGGGCGCGTGCTTGGCGCGCGTAGAGTAGTAAAACCATACCGTTTCTCACTTTCATTAATTTTTATTTCAATAATAGTGCAGGAAAAATGAATGGTTTGAACAAAGTTTTTTACAATGAGAATTTAATTGTTGAATAATTTATTCGGAATCGTGATAATCCTCTTCATCTCCTCCGTTTCTCTTTTGCTTTTTGCGTTCTTTTTTATTCTTAGGGATGTATTATGTACTATATACATATGGGGTATTCCATGTGAACTCACTCAGGTCAAAACCCTCACCATCGCCAATCATATTGCCGATTTTTCCTGTGGTTGTATATGGAAAAATATGACTTCTCAAATTTTTTCAAATTTTTTGAGGCATCCTGGGGGCAGTCATGTTTTTTTTGCAAGTTTTATCTTCAAATGCCTGTAACTTCCGTAAAAATCAACCCATTTGAGTTTTTTTTACAATATGTGCGTCTTCGAACACACTTTCCATATAAAAATATGCCAATTTTTTTCAATTTCCTCAGAAAAACCTCAAAAAACGAGTTGTTTTCAAAGTTGGACTCTTTTTATATTTTTCAAAAAATTTCAGTGAATATATTGGACCAAAACTATATTCATTTTTCTACAGTTAAAAAAAATTTAAGTATAAAAAAATATACATATGCATAGAGTATGTATTGTATACTATACTAGGGGGCTACGCCCCCTGCTCGCTCCGCTCGTCCACCCATATGACCCCCTTGATCCTTATTCTAATCCTTGTGACCCTTCATTTGACCCTCGTGACCTGTATTTTGACCCTTAACTTTGGAGTCTTAATTTCGAGTACAAAAAAAAATTCGAGTACCAAATTCTCATTACCAGAAGTCGCTTTGGATTTTTATAACATAGAGAAATATATCGAGACCTTCATTTTGACTTTTATCTTGATATCCGATTACCCTTAATTTTACCTTTCTGGTCCTTAAACTGACCCTTGTGACCCTTATTTGGATCTGTACTCTAACCTTCATTATAACTCTCGTGACCCTTATTTTGACCTTTGTGACCCTTAATTTTGGAGTCTTAATTTGGAGCACCAAATTTTCATCACAAGAAGTCGATTTGGATTTTCATAATATAGAGAGATATATTATACATTATATAGTATATACACATACTATCTTATACATGTATTGTTTTATTACAGTAAAAAATGAATTTCTCTTTTTTTACAATTACTGCATGTCAACAAAAGATTACATTACATTTAAAAAAACATAAACATCATATATTACATTACTTCATAAGCAGAATAGAGGCTTTAAAAATTGTTAGACAGGATTTTTTTAAAGTGAATTTGTTGAAAAATTAAATTATTATTTTAAAAACCCACGAAAATGGGAAAATTAAATTTTTGGACTCGACTTGTCATCAGAGAACATTTGGCAACATTGTAAATCTGAGGTACCAGCCGCTACCACAAACGTTCCAGCGGAGCTGCTAGCCATTATGCTTGTGTGTTGGGTTGGGCTGGGTGGGTGTTTTAGTGGGTATAATGGCATTCAATGGCATAAATGATTGTGAATATGATGTGTTGTGATGTGCCCGTTTGTTGATGATAAATTATTGCTACGGTGTCGATGCTTTTTGGTGAGTATGCGTCTTAATTAGCCGGGTATATTCTCATCATCCTCCAATCACCCATCTCTCCAACACATTCAAGGAAAAAAGGCAAATATTAAGGAATAAAACGTGATGTAGAAAGGTTATGAATTGTGGGTAATAGACATCTTTCGTGTCAGTTAAAAAACAGTTACAATATCCGTTTTGGTACAGCCTTCCGACGTTGTTAATTAATTAAATGAAATTCATGTGATCATTATTCGCCATGTTTTGACCTTCTTTTGTGTCATTTCAGTCATTGGAATGAGGGAATTTAGTGATTTTGTCACTGAGATGCTTCACATCGGAATTAACCTTTTAAATAGTGATATAAAAATTCAAGGAAGTGGCTCAAATTTTTTCCTCTCACGTCAGAGAGGGATCGAATGAATTGGCTCGAGTTACGAACATTCACTCATTTCCGCGTTGATAATGGGATGTTTCTTCATTGTTCATGTTGATATAGTTCATAGTGGTCAGGGATTCAGATGAAATTGGTGATTCATATGATATTCGTGGAGTCTACAAGAGTATATACATTTATTCATCATATTTATCTATAACTATTGATACAATAATAGTTGATTTATGGGAGCATGTGCAGATCTATCGCCTCACGATGATTTTACGTGTTATTAAATTGTTGGTGCAGAGTTTATTGTTGAGTAATTATTAGTGTCATCTCTATTTAGGTACAGGTTACGACGGAATTAGTGGGCCATCAAGATGGGCAAGCTTTTGTCGAAGATATTTGGCAATAAGGAGATGCGGATTCTCATGTTGGGACTCGATGCAGCTGGGAAAACGAGTATCCTTTTTCAATGAGAGGTTAAATATGCTGACATGGGAGATTAAAGCGTGGAAAAACTATCAAAACATGCACAATTGAGGGATTTGTATTCTCAGTATGTCTATGGCTTTTGGTCATTGACGAGTTGAAGATTTATTCATAAAGGGGATATATATCCTCTTTTGATGGGAAGCATTGTCATGCCCCCTACATTGCATGATAAAATTTGGTAGTCGTCGATATAGACACTCACGATATTGTCTAAGAGGAGGCTTCGGTGAGTTTTGAACATCACGGGTTATTGAAGTGAGGATCTCTAACTTCATACATGCAAAAATCGATCGTTAGTGTAAAAAAACTCATCATTTATTGTCCGTTAGCCGTGTAGAAGACTAAAATTATATTGTTATGAATACCGATTTTTTCCTTTACAGTGCATTCCATCGGGCATGTATTCGTCTTCTTTCGATCTGAAGATCTCTCAAGTTGGTGTTACTTTTGTTTATTCAGTATTTTTTGCTCTCGTTTTATTGTATTGACACATTAATTTCAAAACAGTTCAAAAAACAATCCAGTGTACTTAATTTTTAAGATAGACAACTTTTTTCCCAAAATACGAATCACTTTTCAAATATTCCAAATCTTGAACAGTATAAATGTCCCAATACTTTGATCTTGAATTATTGCGCCTGTTCAGTGGATTTTTTCATACACAGAAACAGAAAATAGGTTATTCAGGAATCATATATCAAAAAAAGTGATTCGCAATTGTCCTGCACATTTTTTGTGATACCCTGGACCGTTTATTGGATTATATTATTTGAGGCTTCTACACGGCTAATGGGTGATAAACAATGTTTTTTTTTCTTTCACACTAATGATTAATTTTTGGATATCTGAAATATCCATAATTATAAGGAAAACTAGGCGCTCTTCACTTAAAAAACGCGTGATCAAAATTCATCCGATTCTCCCCGTAATTTTCACATTTGGGGGGTGGGCACTTTTATAACAGGTGCAATTGTTGATTCTTACATCATTTTAGTTTTAAGGATATCTAAATACTTTGGCTATTCTTTCTCCGCTGAAATGTTTTTTTTCCTTTTATAGTCGAACGTCAGAGTTTTCATTTGAGCCCCATTTGACCCCAAGTTTCCGGACATTTTATTATGATTTTATTATTTCAACTTTGCAGATCGGAATTTGCATCTCGATATTAAACCGTTGGAAAATATTTTAAAAATCCTAAAAAAAAATTAGAATGTTTACTTTTGAAGGAAGATTGATGAAATAATTTAAAAAGTGCAATTTTTGGAAATCACGAGTATTTTCCTTTAAATAATCTATAAACTACCAATTTTCCACTATGAAAATTATTTGTTCAGAATCGTAACAAATTTATTCATACTCAGAAATCGATTGCATGCCTAAGAAGATGAAATTTCCGACCGTTTAAACAGTTTCAATTATTTGTTTATAAACATCGAATGTTTAAAAAAATAATAATTCTGTGCAAAATGTAATTTTAATTGTCAAATTGGATGATTGAAAATGGTTGAATCTGGAGTGTGGTTTGTACCAAACTGTAAAAAATACTTGGATATCCTTAAGTAAGGTAAGGAGAAATGATGAATAGATCTTTCTTGTAGCTAAAAATTTTCCCAATCGAGTCTGTTGATATTCCGTCCTAAATTCCATTAGACGAATAATAATTACAAAATTATCAATAATGCCATCAAATTCGATTTGTTCTAATCCTTCAATCCTGACTTTCCTGTCGAATAATTTTCGTCGTTTTTCCACAATTTCTACTTTTATGTTAAAGACATCATCATGCTATCCTTCGGAATAAAAAATGCAAGAGTTTACAGAATGTAAAACGTATTCAGTAATGTGATTTCATAATTTCCTTAATAATAATGATTCATCAGCTATTCTGTATAAATTAAAATTGGGCCAATCTGTCACAACAATACCCACTGTAGGATTTAATGTAGAGACAGTAACGTATAAAAACGTTAAATTCAATGTCTGGGTAAGTGCATAATTGAAGTCAATTAAATTAAGATGAAGTTTCATTCCATGAGTTTGGGTCGAAGTTTGTAATGATAAACGAATATAACAATTGAAATTTATCCATAGGACGTGGGCGGGCAAGATAAAATACGTCCGTTGTGGCGTCATTACTACACTGGTACTCAAGGACTTATATTCGTAGTTGACTGCGCTGATCGAGACAGAATTGATGAGGCACGCCAAGAATTACACCGAATTATCAATGACAGAGAGATGCGAGATGCTATTATTTTAATATTTGCTAATAAACAAGATCTTCCTGACGGTAAGGATTTTCAACCATGAACGAAATTTATTAAAGAAGTGGTAGAATGATTTTAGATTCCATTAAACATGGAATCTTCATTAATTGTGCATTCATCTTGGGGATGCATGATTATTCAAAAGAAAATGTCAAGGAATCTTCTTTAGACGAGATAAAGTTGCCTATAAATAATAATATTATGGAAGTAATACCATTGTCATGAAGAGATAGGTCTCTGATTTATCTCAAGAATGAGCAATTTTACCTTGAACTGTTGACAAATCTTTCTTGTAAATCGCCTGTCCCCGAGATAATTGCATAATTAATAGACAATCATCTTAACCAGATGATTTTATAATTACACGAAAGTTACGTCAAGGTTAATCATCATGAATGAATGAATGAATGAATGAATGTCAAGGTTAATCTTTCATTCATCTTGTGGACGAGGGTTTTCAGGACAAAATTCTAACGAATTTATCTACAGTTTATGCCGTTTGAATCACATATTAACGAGATAATTTCTTAATCGAGATTCTGAATGTCATATAAGCCTTTTCATTTAATCTTGGAAGAATATTTATTTCGTCCCCCGATTTGAAAACGCTTCGAAAAAAGAATCGAAAATTTTAACAAGTATCATCAATAATAATATTCGTTTGAGCTATCAAAAATGATGAATGATACGTGTTAGAAGCCCACATTTCATTATTTATTATCTCCTAAACTGTATAGTACAACTAGTTAGCATTTTTTTTAATAGTTGGGGAGTATTATAAACATTATCTATGAAAAACTTGTGGTCAATCTTAAGAAAAACGTGTTTTTTAGAAATATACCTTAAGGCCTGGGCGTATCATCTTTCGAACGATATCTCGATTGTCTTTCCATCTTCATAATTTAAAATGTATCACAATTTTCATTGGATTTTACATCACGCAGGAGTGCCTAAAAATTATATTGGACAAATCAAAAAAGTAGAAAAAACTGGTCATTTTCAAAGAATGTTTTTAATAATGATTAAGAAATAAGTCCAATAGAGAGGAAATAGTGAATGGATAATTTATCATGGTAACTAACGATCTGACAGCCATTCACTACTGTGAGAAACAACGACCTAACAGCCATTAGATGCATCTAATTACTAATTTGCAATTTCCCTCCTATTGGGTTTATTTCCCAATATTATTCAAAAACGTTCTTTGAAAATGTTCAGCTTTTTTTCAATTATGATTGTACAATCATAATTTTTGAAGATTCCAGGGCTATCTAAAACTGAATAGCAATTGGAGATCATTTCAGATTATCAAAATAAAAAAACAACCAAAATCACGCTCGAAAGATAATCCACCCGGGACTTAACATGGAAAAAAGTCCCCTAAAATCTAGTGGCTCTAAAATAAAAAGGCTTATATCCACTCCATCGTTTTACCACTTCTTCTTTCGAGTATAACCGATCACTAAATTAATGAAATACTTCTTTCCTCAGCTATGAAACCACACGAAATACAAGAAAAACTTGGACTAACAAGAATACGAGACAGAAATTGGTATGTTCAACCGTCGTGCGCAACGACCGGTGATGGACTCTACGAGGGCCTTACATGGTTGACTAGTAATCACAAATTATGAGCTATTAGTTAGTTCCCTCCATTAATCGTGGATTTCGTAAACCCTAAAAAACAAAACGAGTAATACACGCCTACTATGTGGGTTTTATCTATTAAATAAAAAAAAAACAATGCAGAATGCAACAAAACAAAAAATATTACAGAAAAAGCAGAAAAGACAGTATGCAATTTTATGTCAACCTCAATCGAGGAGTTAGCTACAATACACATGCAGAGAGGTTGATGTGACACATTTGCCTGTCCTGTGCAAACTAAATGAACGTGAAGGAATGTGAATCTAATGTACAATGGCGTTTCAGTTATGTGTAGAATAGGTCGACGGCGTGTGGTAAGGGAAAGTGTTGGTGGGGGGGGGGG